ATATAGTCTTACCTATATGCTCGATATCGAGCTGCTCTATTGCTTTAGTCATCGAAGATGCATTATCTGTTGAAGCTTCAAAGAGTTTATTATATATACCTCATTGGTCAAAAAGTTGTCAGCAGAAATCTTCAATCTGATCACCTGTATGAGGGTAATTGAACTTTTGGATTGTAAGAAGAGCTTAGTATAAAGTAAATTCAGGACCGATCCAATGAATAGTTACTGCAATATAAGGTTGATAAAATTGAGACCACAGATCCATCGTAAAGCAAAAGGAATCTATCGTTGTTTGTAATAGATTTTTAAGTTGTTGCTCAGCAAAAAGCACTGATTGCATTAATTTTTCTTTTAACTGATCAATACACGGAAACATAAATCTTGGTTCGCATTCAAGAATCATATCTCGAAAGCAACTATTAGTGGTAGTATAAAATGATTGGAGATCGTCTACAACCCAAGCTAAAATGCGATTTGTAATTTTATCATGTTTTGAAGATGGTAAGGGTATTTTTTTATTTAAAAAGTTATGCAATGATGATTGATTTGAAGCTATATTAACCAATTGGTTATTTTTATTATTTGTTTCAGGGGGCAAAATTCTATAAACTTGGTGTAAATAAGATTTTAAGTTTTCTGTTCCAGTTGATAACTCATATTCTTAACCACAGGTACCTTCGTTACCATCTTCATTTGTTGTTTGAACTTGGCAATATATTTTTTTTTCAACTTTATTTCATTTAAAATAATGCCATACCCAACTTTTACTAGGTCTCGATTTTTTGTTGCGCGTAAAAGCTTTTTTTTTTGAATTCTTTTACCCAGACTATTAGTAATAACAGTAACACCATTATTTTGTGATGTGGATTGTTCAGGTGAGCTTGAGTTTGATTCAATGTCTAGGTCATTTGGATTTTTTGATATATCTGACACATTTGATTTATTTGACAAAGCTATAATATCGTTGTTATAAGAATCAAGCTGATATTGATCATGTATTGACATTTTGATACTAAAAAATTTGTTTATAAAATATAGAAATTTTTTTATCACAGAACAAAAAAAAAATCAAATTATTTTTATTACTTTCGTTGTTGTCTTTATTTTATTTATATTTAATCACATTATATTATATATTAATTAATTATTTTTTTATAGATACATATTTGATTAAGGGTGTTCTCAAGGGTTGTATATCAGAATCCCGACATACAAAATCCCGACACACAAAATCCTGGTAACAAAATCTTAATACACAAAATCCTGACAAATGAAATTCCTAATTTTAATATTTTTAGGATTTTAATTTGCCAGGATTTTGTGTATTGGGATTTTGTTGCCGGGATTTTGTGTGTCAGGATTTTGTATATCGGGATTCTGATATACAACCGTTCTCAAGCACCTACCTCAATGGACTTAATAATAGAGTTCTTACCCGGGTTGGGTGACCCGTACAGGTCACCTGACCTGACGGGTCACAGGTCGAAAATTGCTTTGACCCGGGTTAAACGGGTCAGAATTCAAAATAGGCAAAAACCTACTAAAATGCAATTTTCT